GTCTGTATAAGTGTCACCTATAAAATGGAACTCCTTTGTCAGTACCTGCCCCGCCTCTTGCTCTTTAAAACTTTTTTCCTTCTGTGATTTCATACACGTACATAATGTATCTTGGTCTTTTTTTACCTTCTTACCTAACTCTGTTATTCTTCCCCAACTTCCACTGAACACCCTCGTCTTCCCATCAAGTTAGCCTCATATCCCTCCTATTTTCATTTCTTTGCCTTGCAACCCACTGAGTTTAAATAGGGCTGGCTACAGTGGGGTGGGGATGAGTATCTTCTATCTATATTTAACTGCTGATAACTCCTTGGGGAGTAGTGGGACTTCATTCCATGCTGGATTTTTGACGGGATCTTTTTCTAATTATCACTGTTGCTGTGAGTTCATCAGTGTGACTTCCATGTCATGTCCAGAAGACAGCTTTTCACTCTTCCCCATCTTCACAATCTCGTGGGTTTTTTTTCTGTCCTCTCTTCTTCGATATTCCCTGAGCCTTGGGTGAAGTGGTAGAGAAGTCCCATTTGGGACTTGGCACTCACCAATCATTTATTATTAGCACTTTGACCAGTTATGAGTCTCTGCATTAACTACTGCCCACTGAACAGAAATGTCTCTGATCAAGGCTGATGGCCACACCAACAATGGTAGTAGGTTCCCTGGTTCCCTGTGTGGAGATGTGATCTCACCAGTCGAGGGCTTTTGATCAGGTTCACAGAACCAGGCTCCTTGCTTGTTTTTTCTTCAGAACATTAATCAGTGTTTACACTAGCCTGTGGTGAGATATCACTACAAATGTTATGGCTAGTCCTCTCGAGACTTTTTGTTGCTATAATTTTTTCCCCTACAGGATCCCATAGAGTTATCATGGTCCCATTTCATCAGGAAGTATTTCTAAGAAGACAGCGCCCCCTTTCCCTACTGTTGGCTTTAAGGGATAGTATTCACTGCATAGGGTTGGTTTTAGTTGGTTAGGGTTGGGAATGGAAAGTGATGCTCAGACTCGGTATCTCTTTTAGAAAAGTTTAAGAGTGTGGATGGGAAAGGCATGGTTAATATGGGATATAGGTAGATTAACATATCTTCTAGTAAACTAACTTTAGCAACTGTTAGCTATAGATAACTTAAATTGTTAGATTATTGTATGTTGGCTGTTTAGGGTCTTCTTTCTGCTGTATATGCCAAAGATGGAGGAGTTGCTGGCCTTGGGGCTCTTCACTGCTCATCCTGACAGTTCAAGTCAGACCATAACAGCTCTGAGATGTACAGTCTGATCCTGGGCACCCGGATTCACTTCACAGAGAAGCTCCAACTTTGGAGGATAATTGGAAAGATGATCACCAGGAAATTGTTTGCAGGACAAGCATGATCCAAGCACAGCCATCACTGCCTCTAGCTCCTACCTGCTCTTTATTTCTCCAGCAATTATCTAAGTAGAGAAGGGTGATCTTAGCCTTGTGTGGGAGGTTTAAATACCACTAGGGTGCAAAGGGGATGCTAAAGTCATCGAGAGGAGGAGATGGCCCTGAAAATATGGTGCCCACTGAGGAAACTAGACATTGCCACATACTTATGGGGACTGGGCAAGTGACTTAATAGCTAGAAAGGGCCAGGCAGTTGGTCTGTATCCCTCTTTAAAGAGGTAGCTTTGACCAGATCTCACCAAAAAGGAATACAGGCTCAGTATGTCCAGGTTTTCTGATTTCTCAATGAAAACCAGAAATCCAAATGTGTCTATGAAATCTACCAATTTTAAATGTTGCCAGTAGAATGAAAAATTTTAGGAACACTGTTTTCTAGCTAACATTTCCGTATAACAAACCACCCTGGATGTAGTGACGTGAAGCAACTGTTCTGTTATGCCCACAAAGTCTCTGTGACAGGAGTTTGGACAGGATGAGTGGAGATGGTTTGACTCAGATCCATGGTGTCTGGGGCTTCAGCTGGGAAGACTCAAGTACTGGCACTAGAACCATCTGGAGGCCTCTCCACTCACATAGCTGGTGCTTGGGCTGGAATGACTCAGGCCGTGACTCGGCTGGGACAGTCCACTAAAGCCCCTACACATGGCTTCCCATGTGGCCTGAGCCTGTCATGCATGGCTCTGGGTTCTGTGTGTCCCGGGAGTGGGCTCTGCAGGGGAACCAAGCGGAAGCTGCCTGGCCCTCTACCATCTGGCCTCCAGTCTCACAAGATCACTTCCACTGCATTCTGCTAGCCAAGGCAGCCACCCCTCCCCCTGAGCTCAAGAGAAGAGGGACCCAGCTGCCATCTCTGCATGGAAGGGCATCAACAATTTGCAAACCCCACATGCTGGGTGGGCCAGGTCTGAAGGGTGTGCAGGCCAGACTGGCAAGAACATTGCCGACAGCGTGCCTGCAAGGCATCAAGGGGTAGGGATCCAACCCAACCACTGAAGAGCTTCAGCAACAATCCCAGAGCACAGACCTGGAAGTAGGGCCACTAGCACAGGAGCCTTCCTGAGTGGGCTTCCTTGGACCTGTGTCCAGACCTGACTGTGACCTGCACACAGCCATCCACTGGGACCACACACTCAGGCCAGTCCCCAGCCTCAGCACAACCCCAGAAAACACCCTCAGGTCTCATGGTTTGGATCTGAACTATTCCCTAAAAGCCCTTTGTTACCAACCTGTGGTATTTCTGAAACCCCTGGGTTTGGGGGGGTCTAGATAGAGAAAAGTAGATCACTGGAGACCTGTTCTGGAGGGCGGACATGTTTCCAGGCCCTTCCCAGTATCTCTCACCTCTCCGGCTCTCCCCTGCTTCCTGGCAGTCATGGGGGAACAGCTTCGCTCTTGTTCATGCTTCCCACCATGGTGCCTCACCCCGTCCAGGAAACAGCGGAGCCAAAGGACTAGAGTCGGAAACTGTGACTTGAAACAGATCTTCCCTGCTATAAGCTGATTTCCCTGTGTACTCTATCACAGAATAAAAGGATGACTAACACGTCAACTACCACCACGACATCCTCTTCCACACAGTCCAGTACCCCAGCCATGTCCCTTCCTCTTCCTCTCTAGGAAGACTTTTTTCAATCCTTAGACCAAAAGGATTTCAAGCCCATACTTATTGTAGGTGCCATAGATTGAACATGGCCCCTGCAGATCAGCATCTAGTCCTCAATGCAGTGGTGTTCGGTGGTTTGGAGAGAGGATTAATGCCCTTACAAAATGGGCCCCACAGCTTCCCTTGCCCTTTGTTCTGTGTGGGGACATATTAGAACCAGTTTGACCTCGAAGAAGGCCATATCCAGCGCCAGCATGGGAAACTACATTCCAGGCCCCAGACCTACCTACATATAGACACTCTGCCCTCTAACCACAAACTGGCCTCATGCCCACTCCAGGGACACCTCCTGATGTGTTAGGTTTTGACCTGAAGTCTTCCTCATCAACCACATGCTAAAGAGACCTTTTAAAAAAAAAAACAACACCTTGATCTCAGGCTCTCAGCCTCCAGAATGGCAAGAATTCTTTATTTATAAGCCTCTCAGTCTATGACTGTGTTAAAAGAGACTAAAAGCTGGACTGTATGACAGAAGAGCTTCTGGAGAGCCCGGATGTTCTCTAGTGGCAAATACCTTCCTCATTAATCTCCAGAGAAGTGTAAAAGAAAAGGCACATGGGGAACAGCCACAGCCTTGGGCAGACTGTGGGTGCTGGGCCAGGCCATGCCCTGGTTTGATTATAATCTTTTGTGGACTACAGTGACCCTGTGGAGTGTTTTTTCCATTTAAGAGATGAACAAACCAAGTTTCGCAGTAATTACAGCAAGTGTGTGGGCTCCTGCTTGGTGGACTCACGAAGTTACCTAGTGGGGAAGAGTGAGCGAGACCTGAGATTGACAGCTGGGGCCAAACTGTGAAGAGCCTTGCAAGCTCTACAGTCATGAACTTGATGAGTCGGCTTATAGGGGACCATCCAAGTTTCTGCAGCTGAGGGTGACTCCACTAATTAAAGCCAGTGAAGATAAAGTGACTCCTTCCAGCATTTTGTTTTACACATCCTCCTTCCCATGGGTTTCTCATTTACAGTTGCCATGTGAGCCAAGTAAAAGTCCCAGGGGTCACAGTGTCCAAAGTACCAGTAGCAAAACCAAGACAGAAGGTGAGCCTCCTGAGTCCACAACCGGTTGGTGAGGGTCAGTTGGGCCCCCATAGCACAGTGTATGTCTTCTCCTCATTGGACCCGCCTAACATCACTCTGTCACCCCATCTTTCTCTCTCTCATTCCCAGGGATTCTAATGCATCGGTTAACCTTTGGTCCTATGTGGGCAGCATGGGTCCAGCTCGCCAATCTGAGTGATTGTCTGGGACTATAAGGGTGCTGAAGGAGAGCCAACCTTGGGCTTTCTTAGGATTACCAGAGGTTCCCAAGCCCTGGCCGCCATATCTACTGCCATGTGGAGAACTTTTTCCTGAGGGTCAGTCCCAGCAATAATACTTCAGGTTTCTCCAGAAGGAAAGCAAGCGCTCCAGATTCATTTTTGCCTGGACTGCATTTGCAGGCCACTTTTTTGGTTGTTGTTGTTTTGATTTGTTTTTATTTAAATTAGAAACAAGCTTGTTTCACATGTCAATCCCAGCTCCCTCTCCCTCCCCTCCTCTCCCGTCCCCTCCAATCCCCCAACCCCCCACCCAGTCCCCACTTCGATCCCCAGGGAGGGTGAGGCCCTCCATGGGGGATCTCCAGAGTCTGTCATTTCTTCCGGGGCAGGGCCTAGGCCATTCCCATGTGTCCAGGATGAGACGGCATCCCTCCAAAGTCCATTCGTATGCCCCATAGATTGCCAAGACCTCCTCACTGACACCCAAATGTAGGGGTTCTGGACAAGTCCTATGCTAGCCTCTCAGTCATCAGTCTGGAGTTCATGAGCTCTCCCTTGTTCAGGTCAGCTGTTTATGTGGGTTTCACCAGCCTGGTCTTAACCCCTTTGCTCATCACTCCTCCCTCTCTGCAACTGGGTTCCAGGAGTTCAGTGCATTGTTTAGCTGTGGGTGTCTGGCTCTGCTTCCATCAGCCACTGGATGAAGACTCTAGGATGGCATATAAGGTAGTCCTCAGTCACATTATTGGGGAAGGGTTTTAAAGGTAGCCTCTCCATTATTGCTTAGTTTGCCAGTTGGTGTCATCCTTGTAGGTCTCTGGAAATCACACTAGTGTCAGCTCTCTCCTTAAACCTATAATGACTCCCTCTATTATGATGCCTCTCATCCTTTTCTCCTCTGTTCTTCCCCTGACTCAATCTTCCTGCTCCCCCATGTCCTCCTTCTCCCCTCCTCTTCTCCCCCTCTCTTTTTCCCAGCTCCTTCTCCCCTCCCCCATGCTTCCAATCTGCTCAGGAGATCCTGTCCCATTCCTCTTCTCCAGGTTACCATGCATATCTCTCTTAGGGTCCTCCCTGTTTCCCAGACTCTCTGACTGTGGGATTGTAGGCTGGCACTCCCCTGATCCATGTCTAAAATCCATATGTGAGAGAGTACATACCATGTTTGTCTTTTTGTGACTGGGTTATCTTGCTCAGGATGGTTTCTTCTAGTGCCATCCATTTTCAAGACACGCTTATTCTTGTCACTTGTTTCAGAAACAGCCCTTGTAACTATGCCTTCATTAGCTGTAGCACATGCAGGTTTCCTCCAAGCCTCAATGTCTTCCTTTGTGTGAGAATAATCAAATCAGCAAACTTAGGGAGTTTGTAGAGTATTGAAGGCACATCAAGACTGCCAGGTAGCAAGGTAAATAAAGGACAGGAAAACATTAGAGAAAGGTACCATGGGAAGGAATAAAAATTACATGCAATTATATACAAGTGTTTATAATGTAGATTTATAATATTCTATATCTTTATAATTGCATGCACATTACACAATTTCAAGTTATGGACTGTCCAGATTTGCTTTCTATTGCAGTGATAAACAGCATGACCAAAAGCAACTTGAGGAAGAAAGGGTTTATTTCATTTTACAGTGCATTCCATCATGAAGTGAAGTCAGGGCAGGAACCTGGAGGCAGGAACTGAAGTAAAGGTCATGGAGGCATGCTGCTGACTGCCTCACCCTCCTCTACTTGCTTGGCTTACTTTCTTATACGAGACCACTTGTCTATGGATGGCACCACCTGTAGTGGGCTAGGCCCCCCATATCAGTTATTAAGTTTCTTGGAATGCCTCATAGACTTGCCTATAGGTCCTCTGCTGCTATTTCCTCTTCCCAGACTCTAGTTTATGCCAGTAAAGTTACTAAAAATACTAACCAACACTTAGGCATGCTGTTAGAACTTTTAAGACTTCAACAGTTACTGGATAGATAACCAATAGTCAAACATCAACAATGTTTCTATACACCATCAGTGACAAATCAGAAAAAGAATTCTTTGAAAAAGAAAACTTACTGGGCAGTGGTGGCTCATGCCTTTAATCCCAGAACTCAAGAGGCAGAGGCAGGCAGATCTCTGAGTTCGAGGCTAACCTGGTCTACAGAGAGAGAGTTCAAGGACAGCCAGAACCACACAGAGAAACCCTGTTTTGAAAAACTTCACCTCCACAAAAAAGAAAGAAAAAGAAACCTCATTCACACTAGACAAAAAAATCTAAGAGTCTCAGAAACAACCTGTGTGTGTGACACATGTGTATATGTATATGTGGATATATGAGATGTGTATATCTGTGATACATGTGTGTGTGTGTATATATATGTGTGTGTGTGTATGAGATGTGTATGTGTGTATATTTATGTGTGGTTTTATGAGATGTGTATGTATGTGATAAATGTATGTATGTGTGTGTGGATACACAAAATGTGTATGTGTGTGATAAATGTGTGTATATGTGGCTATATGAAATGATTATGTGTGTGATATATATGTGTATGTGTGGATATACAAGATGTGTATATGTGTGATACATGTGTGGATATGTATATGTGCATATACAAGACATGTATGTATGTGATACATGTGTGTATTTGTATGTGTGGACATAGGAGTTGTGTATGTAGGAAGAAGACAGCTCACAGGAGCCTGTTCTGTCCTTCCACCATGGGTCCTAGGGATCAAAGTCAGCTCACAGGGCACACACAGTAAGCTCTTTTACCTGCTGAGACATTCGCTAGGTCTCAAACCTGGGACAAATGACCCAGGTGCCAATTAAACATATCAAAGTGGACCTGGCCTCCAGTTCTTCCAGCATCCCTCAGTCCCTACATTACAGGGCCTCCTGGCTGGCATACCCAATCCCCTACCAGTACACACAAGATTTCTATTTATGAGACATCTTATGAGAAATGAGTTTGGGGGAATGCAGGCCTTTTGCAGGCAATCCACCTCCACATTAGTATCGCAAAGAGTGCCAAGTCCTGACACCACTTGAAGACAGGTCCCAAAGCCTGCTTAAGAGCGTCTAATGAAAGTTTGCTTCACAGGTTTTTCTCAAATGAGTTTTCTTTCCTTGAGATGACAGACCATGGAGAATTAGTGGGCTGCTTTCAAAAGCAAAACTGAATTCTCTTGTTAGCACATCACACATCAGTCACATCTACAGCCGCAAGTGTAGTCCCCAGGTCCTTGGTCTGAAAGAAGAGCCTTGGAGAACAAGATGCTTCCCAAATCCCTTATTGGAAGATTAAGACCAGCTTGGGTAGGGGAGGCCAGCGACTGACCCCACTCCAGGATGGAGGTGGCCAGCTTGGGTAAGGGAGGCCAGTGACTGACCCCACTCCAGAGTGGAGGTGGCCAGCTTGGGTAAGGGAGGCCAGCGACTGACCCCACTCCAGGATGGAGGTGGCCAGCACTCCTAGCTGCCCTCCATGCTTCCTGACAGTTGTGCTTTAATCAAGCCTCGCGTGTCCCTCCCAGTTTCAAAGCCCAGTGAGGAACCACAAACCCCCACAGCCTCTGGCGGGGAAAGCCGAGGGGAACTCTTTGAAAGGTAATTAATGTCCTTTGAATCCTAGATCCTTTGATTCTGCTTCCTGGCCTTAAACAGTCACAGGAGATTTTGCAAAACTGGGAGAAAAACAAGGCATCAAGCAGAGCCTCTTCCATGGATGCTTTTCAAGTTGAGCAGAGCCTGAGAGAGGACACTTGTCACTGTGGGGTAGGGCTTGGTAGCAGAGTGGGGGGCAGAGGTTGTAGTGATGTCCCCCAGACCATCCATCCATCCGTCTGTCCGTCCATCCATCCATCCATCCATCCATCTACTCAGTCAATCTGTCAGCCAGTCAATCAATGTGCCAGGTACAATGCCAATTATAAAGCACATGATTTTTAGCTATCATTCATTCGTTCATTCATTTGTTCAGCCTGATATCTCTGTGCAGACACAGAGCTGGATTCCAGGGCTGTAAGCTTATCCTTAGGGAAATAGGCAGACAGTAAAAAGTGAACATACAAACTGTAACTGTTGAAAACATCTCAGTCTGTACAGTGCCTGCCACAAAAGCCTGAGGAACTGAGCTCAGATCCCCCTCAGGCATGTAAAAGACCTAGAGGTGGCTCTCAGATCTGTAACCATAGTGCCAGCAGGGCAGACAGGGGCACGGGGGGGAAGGAGTGGTCGGGGAGTGGGCACTCACAGACTGGTGATCCCTGGAGTCCACTACTGGCCAGTCAATCTAACCAATCTAAGTTCAGTGAGGGACTCTGCATCAAAAAATGATGTAGGACATGGCATGGTGTCGCCGTGTCTTTATTCCCAGCACACAGGAGGCAGAGGCAGAGGGATCTCCGTGAGTTCTAAGCCAGCCTGATCTCAAGTCTCAGGGAAGAACCCTGACATCAACCTTTGATCCCCCCCCGACATACACACACACTTAAGTCCCAGGAACTAAATGAACAGATCACAGTATTCATCCATGGAAGAGCAGGGAATTGTCCTGAAGGGAGGCATCATGGTTGGATGCCAAGTGCTCCCCAAAGACTCTCAGCTGCTGCTGTTGCTGATCTTGCAATAGAGGAGTGGGTGGGTCACCTGGATACTGACCCTTTAGTATTAATGTCTTGTTCTGATCTCCTTTCTTCTTCTTCTTCTTCTTCTTCTTCTTCTTCTTCTTCTTCTTCTTCTTCTTCTTCTTCTTCTTCTTCTCCTCCTCCTCCTCCTCCTCCTCCTCCTTCTTCTCCTCCTCCTCTTCCTCCTTCTCCTCTTCCTCCTCCTCCTCTTCTTCTTCTTCTCCTCCTCCTCTTCCTCCTCCTCCTCCACTTCCTCCTCCTCCTCCTCCTCCTCTTCTTCTTCTTCTTCTTCTTCTTCTTCTTCTTCTTCTTCTTCTTCTTCTTCTTCTTCTTCCTCCTCCTCCTCCTCCTCCTCCTCCCCCTCCTCCTCCTTCTTCCCCCTCACTCTCTGCTTCTTGACAGAAACAGAGCCTTGTCCCATCACACGCTTCCACTGTAATGCGCTCCCCCTTAGTACCAAAACAACAGAACCACAGGAAACATTTGAAGTCATGAACCAATACAGAGCTTTCCTCCTTCATATTGATGTTCTCGGATATTTTATCATAGTGATGAAGATTGTTCACCAGTTTCAATGTGTTCTAATGTGTTATGCAGCAGAGCCCAAGTAACTCAGTGCATGAATTTGTAAAGTGGCCTCAGTTACTTTGGACAAGGACACTTGGTGATCTGAAGTCCAGATTAGAAGCTGTTGGAGGATGTGCATTGATGAGCAATGGTTCCAAGCAGAGATGGGAAAGACTTAAGAATAGAGATGTCTGAGTACAGATGATAACCACGAGGGCTTTTATGCTCCCTGTGAGTTAACACAGGGATGATGCCCAGGTCATAATGGAAATCTTTTTTTCTACTTCTCCCTTGAACCATGTACATCTGCCCTTCCACAGTCCTAGTAGTGAGCAGATGGGAAAATAGAAAAGAAACCTTTTTCCATGCCAGCATTGTAAATTGTATGCAGAACTAACAATGGCCAGTTCCTACTGTGGTGACAATGACCATTGATGTCAACTAAGTCATGAGCTCAGATAGCTCAATGCCCTTGTGAGGGATCTGGGAGCACTGTCTACTACCTGGTCCCTCCACCCCTCCACACGCCCTTTGGGTCCTGTTCTTCTGCTCCTGTCGGGCCAGTGCACACCCTGGGAAAGAGCTGAGTTAAGAGACATGATCCACCTGAGGACAGAGTATACGCAGCTCATCAGCGGGCAGGAGATGGGAGGAGGAGGAAGGAAAAATGGAGAGTGGGAGAAGCAGGAAGGAAGAGGAAGAGAGGTATTGCTCCTCAGCCTGGACCCTGTTATCCAGTGGCCCGGTGCCTCCAGCCTCCGAATTTCAAAGTCACAGTAACCAGGGAGAATCTGCTGGCAATCTCAGCAGCAGTTTTAGGGGTTCCCTGCTGTCTTTCAGTTCCCATGCCCAGAGAATGATGGTCCACAGAGTCTGTAATTCTGATTGCCTTATGCCCTGGGCTGCTCCTTGTTCCAGAGGGGAAAAAAGATGGTGGGGACTGGAGTTAACTGTTCTTAATTAAGAGCACTGGCTTCTCTTTTAGAGGACCTGGGTTCAATTCCAGCTCACAACCATGTGTAACTACAGTCTCAGAGGACTAGAGGGTCCAACTTCCTCAGGCACCAGACATGCACATGGCACATAGACATACATATAGGCACTTACCCATACTCATAAAATAAAAAATAAACAAATCTATTTAAAAAGAGAGAAGGAAGAACATGAATACTTCACCTAAAGCCACAGGTTTGCCAGAAGGAAAGGAAAT